TCATGCTCATATTGCACAGTGACAAGGTGTGCAGTTTTAGTCAGGCTGAGATGCAGTCGGGGCCTTAGCTCGGTCAAAGACAGATCTACGAATTCTGCAGAAGGTTTTATCTCACCCTGAGGTGTTCTGTGCTGGTGGCATCACTGCAGCGGTGCAGTTTGTAGGTTGGCTTCACATGGAAGAATGCACCAGTGATGGCACTTTGTGTCTGTCTCAAACAATATCAAATAGTTTTCATTTTCTGTCCCATCCTCTCCAACTTTCCCCTTCCTTTCCAAGTAGTCTTGGCCCTGATTCGAACCAACAGTACTCTTGGTGTGAGACTGCGCCATGTCACCTCAGATAGTGTCCTGGTTCACCTGCTTTCTCTAAATATTGGACCTCCTACTGCTACTATCACAGACAGTGCACTGGGTGAGACAGACCAACTGGTCTGACTTACTGCTGCATTTCTTATATTCTGTGGCAGCTGGAGAAGGAAGAATTTCTTTCATCTCTCCTGCTCTCAATCTGTGGAGATTTTTGTCGTCATTCTGGCTGAAGGCATTTGCTTTTTCCCTGAAATGCTGTCTTTTCCTTGTTGAGAAATTGACTGTATCAAACCCAAGGGACTTCAGCTGAAAACCTGAGTTTTAGAGGAGTCAGGGGTCATCAGAGTGCTTACAGGCAGTGTGATTTACATGTCCTATGCTCCCTGGACACTATAGTCTGCTACAGACCATTGGCTGAGTTCTCCCCTGAGCCAGCATCTCTCACCGCATGTCTCACCAACTCACCCTGGGAGAGGTAGTCCCATGCAGGAACCTCAGTTCAGAGAGGAGAATGGGAATGGAAGTGGGAATGGGAACCTTAGATGAACTACAGCCCTTAGAAATACTTCAGGTATGAAATATCTCAGATTTAGTTAAGAGTGCTTTGATTTTTCATCCCAAACAACCTGATCATTCTTACAGAAGCATCCTGTACCCTTCCCCTCTGCTCCTTTCACTGCTGTGCACTTTCTGCCAGAAGTGAAGAACCACTACCTAATCTGGTTGATCCTCTTGAGTAACCCACTCCCTATATTTGAGGAACTATAGTGTCAGCCTTTGTCATATCTCCAAGTGGCACTTTGCATTCCATCCTGATGCTATGCTAAGCAGCAAACCGAGGGCAAGGACTCACTGCTCCAGACTGCCCTCCAGATAGAAGGATCCAAAACACTTAAGTAGTCAGAGGGGTGATATGCCTGCTCAAGAAGACTTTGTCTTAGTTTTCAGTGGATAGTGCTTGCCTGCTTGAACTTGAACTAAGATGCAGCAGAGCTATGTGTTGTTCCTTAGTAGGTGCACTCCTGCAGAGATCGAAAAATGGTCTCTACACAGATAAGAGGCTGTCTTGCTTATCTGTAGGCTTTTTTGTGCTGAAGGCTGCTATGGTGATTGTTATTCATGGTTACTGTTGGTGGGGCTTGTTATTTTTCCTCATCCATCATCCCAGGAAAAGGAAACTCAGTCCACTGTCATCAGTGCAAAATCTTCTCTTGACTCACACAGG